GTGTTACAATACCTTAAACTTGCAGCACGTCTGGAGTAGTGTTACACAACCTTAAACTTACACCACCTCTAGAGTAGTGTTACAATACCTTAAACTTGCAGCACGTCTAGAGTAATGTTACACAACCTTAAACTTACACCACATCTAGAGTAGTGTTACAATACCTTAAACAGAGTAGTGTTACAATACCTTAAACATACAGCACGTCTAGAGTAGTGTTACACAACCTTAAACTTACACCACGTCTGGAGTAGTGTTACAATACTTTAAACATACATCACGTCTAGAGTAGTGTTACGATACCTTAAACTTACACCACGTCTGGAGTAGTGTTACAATACCTTAAACATACACCACGTCTAGAGTAGTGTTACAATACCTTAAACATACATCACGTCTAGAGTAGTGTTACAATACCTTAAACATACACCACGTCTAGGGTAGTGTTACACAACCTTAAACTTACACCACGTCTAGAGTAGTGTTACAATACCTTAGTTTATTGTAATATTACTATTACCTGAATATATGCAAGTTTATTGTAGTATGAGTAAATTTCTGAGAAGTATATTTCATAACTTTATCGTTTGCAACTGACTGTCAGTCAAATAACGTTGTTATAAAATAATATTGTTAGATACACATGACTGTTTAGTTTAAGTTTAATACGATAATATTATTTAGTTTATATTGTGCGAGCGTTAAAGCAAGTGGGTTAATGAAAGTGGGGTTAAACTGCATATGAATTTAGCCGTAACGGGCAATTTCTAAAGTGAGTTTCACAACTTTTATTGTAATAACAGAGGTAGAGGAGAATAATTTGTCTTGTTAAAGGGTGTTCTAAAGTAATTGAACCTGCCTGTGTGGACTTTGACGAATAGGAAACAATTATTTAAATCTCTGGATACAACTGTGGTAACCACGGAGTAACGTAAGCAAATTTATCACAGACTGTATTGTGATAACAGAGTAGAGAAGAATATTTCGTTTTGTCAAATGGGTTCTAAAATAACTGAACCAGCCTGTGTGGAGTCTTGACGAAAAGAAACGATTATTTAAAGCTCCAGATACAACTGTGTAACAAATTTTTTGTACGTACGTTTAACTTGTTTTGAATATATTATTTTGAAACAAGTGGATTGTGTGCTGTCGGTTTATTGTTGAAATTTATCGCCAAAAAGTCACAGACACCTACTGTAAAGAATACGGCCCTATAAATCCTGACAAATACACAAAGCGCCATCTACCTAAAATAGGAAGTGAATGACTCAACAATGACCCCAGTACTATAGTACCAGTGATATATATATACGTCACCATATAACGCATCTTGGGATGATTGTGTGTTTAGGTATTCGAAGGTTTTCAGGAGACATCAAGGAGATGATGGGGATAGAAGTTGGACTCTACTGGAAAATTTGTTGGACTTTGGTGGCTCCAATTTGGATTTTGGTAAGAGAGAGCGAAATTAGTATTATTTGATCTAAAAATTTTATCTAAGAAATGAAAAAAAAAAGAAAAAAAGATGACACAAGCTACCAGCTCAAGAACCATAAATAACTGCTCTTTTGACAACTTTATTTAGACTTCAATTCTAAGGTTAAACTCATAGTATTATTTGTTTGATTTAGATGTATATTCTTTTATTCACTACTAATAACCTAGTAGCGGAAGTAGCAAATCAAGTAATAGATTCGGCCTAAACGTGAAATTTACGTTTTAATGAAAAAAAAAAAGAAAAAATAAATTAACTAATAAGTATGTATTAGTTGTTCACATATCCACCACCAGAGCTCAGTTGGTTAGGATATTCGACCTCTTAAAGTTTTTAAGGTCGAAGGTTAAGGTAAAACAAGTAAAATATATATCAACGCATAAACGACAAAGATACTGAAATAAAATAATAGATTACGAGAACGCAAAGTTTCTTTTTTTTAACTCTAGAAGAAATGACAGCTTCTCGAATTAACGATCATAAAGTAGGCTTAACTCTTGTTAAGCCTTTTTACTAAATCCCTGATAAATTCATTCACACTGCAACATTTCATAATTTCTATACAAATGTCTAAACACCTTCATTCATATATTACTAATGTTTTAATCTTTAATGTTGTTTCATATTTTTTAAACAGTTCATTATTGTATACGGACTCACCGAGTACGAACCTTTGACATATGAAAGCTACACTTATCCACCGTGGGCCAACGCCATAGGAATGTGTCTCGCTGCATCCTCTGTTCTGTGTATTCCTGGTGTAGCTGTTTGGAAGATCCTGACAACTCCTGGAACGTTTGTCGAGGTAAAACTTTCTAATTACTTGTTCATACATCTCAATATCTAATTTAATTTAAATCCAGAACTATACACTTTAATAGTACAACCAATCTAAACATGACACACTCTTTCCTAATGTAGCGGGCAATATTGGTTTCAAGTCCACGTAACTTTTTTCCGATTAAGAAAGATACTTACCTCATCTGTTCGTTTTAAAGATGGTACAAGTGTTGTTGAATAAAGTAAAAACTAACTCCAAATCCAGTGTAAGAAGTTACATTTTCTAACAAAGTTTTTACAGTAAAAATAACTGTTTTATTATTGTTTAGTATAGCGAGGACTCAAGTTTATAAAGTGTAAGTTCATATGTACTCAGATCAGAGCATAACAAAAACATCCAGATCTTACAAGACAACTGTAGCAAGTAGTGGGAAACGCACGTGATCTGTTACTTTAATAAAGAGGTTTAAAGCATAACAGAAAGTCCGAATAGTGGAAAATAACTGTAACACGTACTGGGAAACGAACACAATCAGCCACTTTAATAAACGTGGAGATGAATTTTTTTTTCTTCCGTCTTCCAGCGTATCCGAATTTTGACAACTCCATGGCAAGATCGCCAGTTCTGCAACGGAGTAACAAGTGACGTCACACAAACGAAGCTAACTCTCCCACCAGGAGGAGTTCCATCTGCAAGTATTTGAGTGATTATAAATTATTGTATTTAAACGTAAATCTTTTGTGTTCAAGGGAAGTTCCAAACATTCGTAATGTATTTTATTAACCAACCTTCCCACAAGTTTAATGTGTTGACTGTTTTTGATGAAGTACAGCCCACTAGATGGCACTACGGTATGAAATTAAAAGGAAAACTTGAACAACCACCGATGGTATTTATACTGCATGTATTAGCATAATTTTATAACGTTTTTTCTTTATTTTTTTTTCTAAAAGATACATTTACTAAAAGCGGAACAGTAATTAACGTTTAGAGAATTGCACCTAAAGACATGTTAACTTTTTGCAATTTTTTGTTCCACAATGATTGGCTATGTGTATCCATTGCTGTGGGTGTGTGTATTTTTCCCCATAGTGCTCTGCCTTGCCTAATCCGAGTCCTTAAGTAATGGTGTGAACATTTAGATTTGCGATTCTTGTAATATAATTCATGACCTAATACAATCACGAATGAGTTGGGCGTGACATAGTGGTTAGCGTGTCAGACTGCGTGTATTATGGTCCGAGGTGTGAGACGTAATTCCCCCAGAACACACGCCGCACTTTCAACTTGATGTTGCTGGCTGACTGCCTTCCTCCTGATCAATAATATCTTGGTCCTAAGATATCCTGACCATTAAGTTAGGCTGATAATTTCAATTCCTTTCCCAAACAGTGTTGTTTCAAACTTTTATCATTTTCGGGTTCTGCTTTTATATAGATTAAATTGTTTTCGTCATTGTTAATCCAGAACGTAAACCAATTATTCGGATCTATAAACACAGCAACTTAAAGGAGATGGAAACCGAGTCTTTAACTGGTTGTACTTCCCTACCTTAATAAGTGTGAGCGTGTTTGTGTTTATACTATAAAAGAGGATGAGATGGCACAACAAGAAACCTTGGACTTGCCCTTAGCCTGTGTTCCCAAACGTAGGGTCTTACTAAATCATTAGGCCTAATTAGATAAAGTGAAATTGACTGTAAACTCAATAGTCTCATTACGTCACTTCGGGTTTAAGCCTAACTAGATAAAGTAAAATTAACAGCAAAGTAAGTAGTCTATTAAGTAACTGCAGGGTTAGGCCTAACTAGATAAAATAAAATTAATAGTAAACTAAGTAGTCTATTAAGTAACTGCAAGGTTAGGCCTAACTGGATAAAGTAAAATTAATAGTAAACTTAATAGTCTTATTAACCCGCCGCGGAGTTAGTCCTAACTAGATAAAATGAAGTTAGAAAGTAAGCTCAATAGTCTTCATTAAATCACTGCAGGATTAGGCCTAACTAGAGAAAGTGATGCATGAGTAAATTCAGTGGTCTTATTAAGTCATCGCGGGGTTAGGCCTATATAAATAAAGTAAAATTAGATGGTGTTTTCTCGTCGGTCAGAGAACAAAAAAGTCTTAATGACGACAATACCTTCCTTAATATTACTGGACATTTTCAGCGAATACCACTCTTATCCAGGCCAGATAATAGCAAAAAACATTTATCAGCTATAGTTGGGCATTCCAGATGGTTATAATCTTATTCATTAACCATAAGCTAAACTAACTAAAGAAACAATTATCAGGTATGGCTGAGCATTCTGGGAGATTATCACCCTTATTCAGTATGCTTAAACCAGAACATAGCCAGAATAGTTTACCAGTTTTTTTCTGTGGGATTATTTCCCCTGTTTTTGTGATAAGTTGTCCTGTATCGTTATTTGTTATACTTACTTAGGAGAAATACCACCACTTCCCTTAACAAACTACTTGTTTTATCATTTCGAGTGGAAATCATGAAGAAAATGGAAAGAGTATTTTTAGCACTTTCTACAAAGCAATACTACAAGCTATCCCCTCATAATTATATTGTGTGGACTAGTGTGTTCGTTTGGGTGACTATAATATTGAAAAGAGAGAAGAACAACACAGTTTTTAGTATTTTGTTGTTTATATCATAGTTTCGTTTGAAAACGCACATGATTTCTAATTCGCTTGTCGTCACTAGTGCCAGTTGTTATGTACAAAGAAATATGTTTTGTATTATATGTGAAAGGACGCCATTTTGTTAAACAAGTATATTATACGTAGCAACACTTAACTCTGTAAGCCTAAAACTTTCATCAAATGTTTGTAATCGAAATAACTTTCTTGAGTCAGTTCTGAATGTTCGGTAATGATCTTAGCAAAACGTTCTGTTTTTATAGATTTGTTTATCGTATAAAACACTACTGTTTCTCATCCACTGAAAGTGTCGCCAGGGGTAAGTTTACAGACTTATATAGATATAACACGGGGTTCGATTCGATAGCCATAAAAATAAGAACAACAATAAATAAATAAGATCGTAACTTTTAACATGCTGAGATAATATGGAGATACTATTAGAAATAATGTACAACAGTGGTGAGATAACCTGGTAACATATCATTAAAAACAACATACAACAGTGGTGAGATAACCTGGTAACATATCATTAAAAACAACATACAACTATGGTGAGATAACCTGGTAATATATCATTAAAAACAACATACAACAGTGGTGAGATAACCTGGTAATATACCATTAAGAACAACATACAACAGTGGTGAGATAACCTGGTAATATATCATTAAGAACAACATACAACAGTGGTGAGATAACCTGGTAACATATCATTAAAAACAACATACAACAGTGGTGAGATAACCTGGTAACATAACATTAGTAACAACATACAACAGTGGTGAGATAACCTGGTAACATAACATTAGTAACAACATACAACTATGGTGGGATAACCTGGTAACATATAATTAGTAATAACATACAACTATGGAACTGTGGAAATTACACCAGCGAGAAACATTCAAGCATTAAATTCATCTCTAAATCTAACACAATCAAAGTTCAGACAAATATGAAAAATGTTAGTTAGTATAAACCTTTGGTCGAAATGTTGTTGTTGTTGTTTTTTTGTTATTCATACACATAAGCATCTCAAAAGAACACTTGAGATATAAACCGTTGAATCTTTTATTAAATATTAATTTATGGCAGTTTTCGCCTATATGCGCGTGTTATTCTAAAAACAAATATGAACATTTATGTTCGTTTGATTTATTAAAGTCTTGTATCATAATGTTGTATTAGTAATGAAAATACTCGACCTTTCAACAGCTAAGTTCATATTATAAATATATGTTGGTATTTGATGTTCGATAAAATATTGTATCCAAGTGTTGCCAGTTTTGTTAGAATAGAAACATTTAGTCTTAATCGTATTTTGTATGTCATCAAACAATGTTATGTTGTAAAATGTACTGTGTATTCCAAGCACAAACGTATAAATATATATATGTGATGGTTGGTGTTGTGATTTTGAAACATTATGTGATTTGTTGGCTCTGTACGATGGAGCACACTCTCTTATACTTGCTTCTGTTCTAACCCTAACAACTAACGAGAATCAAAATATACTATCTATGAATTAATGGTCCGAAAAGATAGAACTGTCGTGATCTTGGAGTATCTTTGTTAAAGCTTGAAAGTTTCCTTAAAAATCTTGCAAAACGTGTACGCAAAATGTTGTAATAAAGATATTTGTGAAAACGTCAATAATGGTATTTTAATATGTGCATGCGGTCTAAGTTGTTCATTACTCAGTGCTACAAATTACAATTACAAGAGGCCTAGTCTTGTTTTTCGATTAGCCCTTGTATAAGGGGTGGAATTCTACAAAACAAGTAACGAGAATCAAATGATATAAACAATCATAAAGGCTCAGTCTATCTACAATTTTGATGATGAGGGAAAATAATTACACTCTATACGTTTATTACTTCTTCAAAAGCCTGATTGTAAGTATAGGAAAACAAGACGTATGTGTATTTTAGGCCTAACAAAATCAATTAAGGCTTAACTAGTACACCAAAATGAAAGCACCTGTATGTCGTTAAGCGTGATTTTATTGTTAGGTCTAAAAGTTTCACTGTTTTACCATCTTTGCACTATGTGCTTTACAATAATAACTTTTATATGTGGAAACATCTGTTAGCTGAGTTCTTGCACAGATCTTAAAATATAACGTTGATAAACGGAAAAATCTGCTGAAGCTTTTCACCAGACACTAATCATAGCAGAACCGTCTGGAAAATGATCTATAGGAACTCGTACAGCTAATAAAATGAGTCGGACCCACGTAGGCCGGTAAGGCAATCATTGATTGGCAAGTCCTTAAG